TTTTTTTTTTACATTTTATTTAAAATTTAAAAATAATTAATATTTTTAATAAAATGTAAAAAAATTAATTATTGAGATATAGCTATAGACCTAACGTATAACTATTATTTAAAAAAAAAATCAGCTAAAAATATTAACTGGATCAAAAGTTATTTAAGTTGTCAGTGAGTGGTGGGCCACCCTGTATATATATTAGAGTGGTCTAAAAAATTACTTAAAAAAATGTTGTCCTCCTACCATCTAAATTTGTTCTCTAGAGTCTAAAAATGGTTTCTTCATTTATACTTATGAAAAAAATTACTTTTGAGCCATCCCAAGCAATTTAAGGTTTCTATCGTACAGAATAACCTACGGTATTTTTCCTATACTATAATTATAAGTATTAGTATTATCGCAATTATAATATTTTCTTATACGACTGTATTATTACTATATCAATAAATAAAATATTTTATCTACACCTTTGACAGGGTTTTTTCTATGTATTGTATAGTGTATAATTTATTATACTATGATGATGTGAGTAAAGGTTGACGTACGTCTATTATCATTGTAGAATTATATTTTAGTTAACAGTGTGCTGATTGATTGTGTCACTCTAATTGTTAATTGTCAGTGTGCTTTACATATAAATCAGTGCTAATTTAATTATATATATATATTTATACAGTAAAAATAAAAATGATAACGCGAAGTAATACTTATATTTATTTAATTGGTCAGCCTATTTCAACTGTACCAGGTAATCGTTTGCCGTCTAATGGTGAAGTATTAGGGTTTTTCTTTCATAATTATCGTATTGAAAAACAGATATAATGTAGTATTCGTAAATATTCCAATTTCGGCAAATCGATAAAATATAGTATAATTTTAAATTTTGCTCGAAAACTTATGAGTTTAAAAGAAATTTGTAACTATGAGAGCAGTGGCGATATCAGAGTTTTGTATTGGGGGAGAAATACATAAAATTAGTAAAAATTAAAAATGTATAATTATATTTATAATTACTTCAAATGCTGAAATGTTGAGCTAAGGTAAATGTTCCAGAGTTTTGGAATTTCTATAACGTCATTTTTTATCATTAACAATAATCATTTCTTAAAATAAACAATTAAAATTATATTTTGTAATTTAATCACGAAGATAAGATTAATATAAGTAATAAACAAACAATATTTATTCGCAAATTGCCCATACTAAAGGAACAAATATAGGCGGCATTGCAAAATATGTTATTAATTGTAAATGGCTTTTAAATTTTTTATACAACGTCCACTTAATATAATGTCTAATGCCGTATTTTGGGGGGTATTGTGTGCGAATTCACTGGGCAGCAGTTTTTAATGAAGACACTGAAATATGATACTATATAAATTATAGAGTTGATGATTTTATTTATATTTTTGCATAAATAAATAGAGATAATTTTTTTGATGAGTGAAAAAAGATCAATGGGGGTGGCAGAATTGAGTATGCCGAGTGGCATAATTCTTTAATGCAGCCTAATTGTGCCTTATAAACTATCATAATTAAAGCATATCAGTATATAAATTTGTAACTGACAATAATCGGTAGGTATCTATGTATAGTGATGTCATAAAAAGTAGAAATATTATACATAGAATATGTTTTATAATCGCTAATTCAATGTTTATATATTTGTTTAGTTGTCAATGTTATTAATCAAGAACTAGGTAAGTACTTGACTAAAAAATTTTAAATTATACATAAAATAATTATAATTCTATTTCCTATAGAAAAATTAAGAATTTTATGAAATACAAATAAACATTATAACATACCATTTAAAATTGATTTATTTAAGGATGTGTTGCGAATGTAGACTGTATTTACTTATAATGAAAAAATAGCCGCTTGAGCCAATTATGCTTTAAATCAATACAACAAATTTTTACTATAATCTCCTAGTGCGACGTTTGTTCGGTGACTGGTTTATCTCTGTAGAGTAAAATTTTACCATATGCTTATCAACAATACTAACAAAAATCTAAGTTATACCGTACCGGTACGCCGGCCTTGGAGAATTGTCATCAAGACTTGTTGATAATTTAGTAGTTAACAGTATTTAAAAAAAAAATACGTACTTATTACGATAATAAATAAATATAATAATAAAAATAAATAATCAAACAACGCATTAATAAAATATTATATCGAATAGAATACAAATATCTAACAAACAATAATTATTACACAAATCAAATAAATACACATATTTTTTATAAAATCGACAAAATAATTTTCTTCGATTGGCAATGTACACAACTAACCTCTCATCAAAAACAACCATTCATGGTTTAAACGTTAGCTGTTTGAATGACGTTATTCTCCACTGTTACTAATTTTACGACAGAACCAAGCCATGGCGCGCCATTTCAAAGACGGAATATTCACGTTTTTGAGAAGCACAGTGGTGCCTAATTTTATCTTAGGTACTTTCTCAGAAGCCCATTTTGTTCTTTTCTACAATTGAGCTAAATATTTCCGACACCAGTGCTTCCATATACTTTTGAAATATTGAGAAACACGCTTTCAACGTGTTAAACAGTTATTAGATATGTTCGTTTGATCCGGTTCAGATAGGCAGTTAGAGAATGAATAATGAGGAAATGAACAGGAGTGATTTAAAACAAGTCGCTTGGATCAAAGGATATAAGTGTTAATGAGCGACTATTGAAGCATTCTTCCGCTGGCATAATTACAGTAAATAGCTATTCACAAAATATTTTGCAACACCCTATGCAATAGATATTTCATCGATTTAACTCCTGCCTCCCACAGGCGACCAAAGTGTGTCGGGCGCCCTAGAATAAAATTTCACTCCACACTTTTTTCAGACAACATGTTATTAGTTTTCTTTTGATACTCTTCCGTTTGATATAATACTCTTTAAGTTGGCGATTTAACCCGATAAAACTTGATGCGTTATCTAATGGAGCGATAAAGTCTTGTATTTCACCAACGAGGTTCGCTATAAAGTTTTTCTACTAACGCTATAGCGACGATATTCAACGCAATACTACCTTTGAATATGACCAGTAAAAATTTAATTTTAGTGTGAACGTAAGTTAAGTACTCACATGTATATTATTCCTGTACCTTATTTAGATATGGGATACGGTATGTTTTACATATCAACCACTTACAACTTCAATTATCATAATTGTAGTTATATACCACAAGGTGTTATAATGATTTATATTTAAAACATATTAATTCAAAATAAATTATTAATTTATTTAAAATTAAATTCCATCAATGGTCCGGTAATCATATCTGATAGGTGTGAAACTTCGCCTAGTTGGTTGCGACCACTGTATCATAGTTAGTCGTTTTGTTGTAGGCCGACAAATGTCCACTTGCTATATTACTAAAGTTATAACCGATTTAAAAAAAATACTTTTGAATTTATATTCACTGGATAATACTTAAAATATTTTATTGTTACTTATTTGTTATTTAGATATCAATATGACTTCAGATTATAATAATAAGAAGGGGAAATGGATATAAGAAACATAAAATTTGAAATTTAAATCTTTATATAACTACAATTTAGAGGCTAATATTTCCTACATAAAACTTTAAAATACACTTTTTAAAAATATGTCTGAGTTTTTACATACAGGAACAATGTTGATAATTGTGTTATGAACGCAACATTCAGTGATAATAAGCGGGTTAGTTAACGTTCTTTCCTGTTGTCTCTAATCATGCAGGAGAAAGAAGTAGAGAGTGGACTATATAAAATAAGTGAAATGTATTTAATGAATATATAACAATTGATCATAACATTTGACCTGTTTCTTTACTTACTGAGCATTCTGATTAAATTTTTATTAAAGCTCTATTTAAACGTTTTCAGGATTTTCGAAATTTTTTTATTGAATAACAGTATACCTTTTTCACGTCATTAAACTATAGATTAGACACCATTATCTAAAAACGTGTCCTTCTTGAAAATATTTTTGAGCAACAATTCATATAATTTAACTTTTCGATTTGTACACAAAAATCATATTTCATTTCTTGACTTTAAAAACCGTACAAAGAAAGTAAGTTTTGAGGGCTATATTTATTTCAACGTAAGGTTCATTATATAAACTTTAAATAAAGCTCTATTTAAAGATGACAGAGTTTCTGAAACTTTTTCAAAGTCTAAGAATGAAAAAATTGTTATTAATATGCAGAAATATTAATACAAAAATACTTTTTGGGCAGGTTTTTCATGGGATATTTATTAATATTACGTATAAGCATATAAAATTTTATAAATGTAAAATTAATCATGAGATGTAATTTTTTTAGCTTTTGAATTGTTCCAGAATTTTGATTGTAAATAATTATTTATTTGACTGATATGCATTAGATAATACTAAAAATATTTTATTGTAACTTATTTGTTATTTAGATATCGTTAGGAATTCAGATTATTATAGTGAGTAGTAAAAAAATAAATACATACATTTTTTTATTAAAAAATTAATATTACATCAAGTTAATGGCTATTTTTTCCTTCATAAAACTTAAAAATAAACCGTAACACAGAGGGTTTGTGGTACAGTGTGGAATTGGCATTGTTGGGACAAATTTAGATGATATCTGACAGTGATTAAAATCACTATCTTAAGAATCGCTATGGTTCATATCTATCGGCAGATTTTCATAGTAAATTACTCTATAGAGTAACATATGATAAACTACTTAATATCGTTCAAGCCAAGATGTTATGTTGTCCCTTTAATGACTTCCAAAAATACAAAATTAATTTTCATTATAACTAATTTGAGTTTTTTTGTATAATATTACCATGGTATAATCAACACAATCAATTAATCTAAAATTGAAGATAAAATGTTTTATAGCATATTAAATACAAAATTTAATACCAAAGTTGTCTATGAAGAATCTTACTTAACTAAAAACGGTAGCACAGTGTGGACGGGCATAGTTGGGACTAGTATAGATGACATCTGACAGTGATTAAAATCACTATCGTAAGAATCGCTTCGATGCAAATCTGTAGATAGTGTTTAATTTTAAGAATTGGTGGCTTATTCCAAAAGCAAAATTAACTCCTACATATTTCATTATTCATAATTAGTAGTTCTATGATTTATAAGTATAATATATGAATAAATATCCATTATAGCATTCAACGAAAATAATTTTGATTATTAATAATTTAGTATTGTAATTTTTACGGAGAGATTATAAAAAAATTATAAAGCAATTGTTAATTTTATTGCAAACGTGTATAAAAATTGAAGGGCTTGATACAAAACTTTTCAGAAGATAATTTGTTGATAATTATGAATAAATGGTCTATAAGAAATATTCATCAAAGTCAAAAATATACTTTAAATATATTAATTAAATATTTTGATTGAATGTTAGTAGGGTAAAATAGATACAGCTGCCCCACGCCTCAAACACTCGCCCACTGATTAGGTTGTGGTGAAGGAGTGTGATCGGGGGAATGAAATCCTACGTAAATTAACCTAATGCAATGGGAGGGGGAACGACGAAATCTAACGTAAACTATTTATGGTGGAAGAGGCTCTCTTCCATCATCATTTCTGAAAGTGGGAGGGGTTAATGAAAACATAAATTAACNTCTTCCATCATCATTTCTGAAAGTGGGAGGGGTTAATGAAAACATAAATTAACTTAATGGGTGAGGTGGGGATGAAATCCGACATAAACTAACACAACTAACACAACCGCACACCTATAGATTGTATGTAATAAATGAATATTTTGCGGAAAAATAAAATAATTTTCCAGAAAAGGTACGCCATAATCCTTGAACGTACGTATAGTACGCGTTGAGTCCACGTGTTTGATGTGCCACACCCCCATATACAAGAGCTTACTCCACTGACCCATAAGTACATTGCTATATCGCATATATTGTTAAACAAGCGACGCTGCCTCACCCGCTCACTCACCGACCGGTCGTAAGTGGTTGCTTATATCGCTCATAAGCGTCTGTAATTTTATATGAAAACAACTGAGAAGCTGTCTATGTATTATTAAAACCAATTGCACAGCTATAAATTCTAAGAATTTTATCGTCGACTACCAGACGCTTAGGTAAGCATATCTGCAACATCCAAGGTATCATTCTATTATATCACTTATAAGCGTATCACAGTGGGAGAAAAGTCACTTTTAACCGGCAAAATTTTTTTTTTTTTCAATACTTTTAATCGTTTGAAGTGATGAAATCAAGATTTTTTTACAAAACATCAATGAAATTCTATTTGGCCAAAATTACATTGTTTTACAAAATAGTTTTGAAATCTTAGTAATAAATAGTCTATCCTTTAAAAAAAAAAATGAAACATTATTTTACACGCAAACATAAAATAATAGTGTGTTCAATCACTATTAGAACTATCAGAACTTCCAATAAAAGTATTTTCTGTAGAGTTATTTAAATCTTCATACTCTTGATTTACATTGTCCACATAAAAGTATCAAAATTTTCTATAAGCAATTGTTCTGCTTCTGCACATAGTTTTTTTTAACTTTGGATGTAACTAAACTTTTTGAGGTGATCAAAGGATCCGATGATATGAGTAAATAATGAAAAAGATCGATATTTGTATTAAATCTACTAGATTTCTTGGTATGATTTCTTCTAATTTTTATATAATCTTTATTTTTTGCTTCCTGGGCTTCCTCAAATAACATACCTATTGGAAATGATGCCAGTTCTATAGCTCTAGATCCATGTATTAGAATTTTATGAATGCTGGATCGCATCCTATACCAGCTATAAAATTTTACATATAGATCAAAAGTTTTCCGTGCATATTGTCCATATTTATTAGAATCCACTTCACGAGAACAAGCTAAAACACTTAATACAACTTTAAAACTATTTAATAAATTTATATCTGATTTAGTAATATTTGCTACTTCCGAAGTATTTTCAATAAAACGGCGAGCTATATTGCCAGTATTTGATGTTCCTTTGCCTTTTATCTATCAACCTTATCACCTAAATTTTTCCATAAACTTAGTAGTATTTTTTTTTTTTTGTTCACTAATTTGTTTTTTCTGTTCTACGGTAGCCCTTCATCTCTAAACATTTGATCCAAGCTTGAAGCGGAGAGAGCCCATATCTTAAATTATTTTCGTTACAAGTCAATGTTTTTATTTTTTCTATATTATTCATATCTTAAGGTGTATATTTACATATAAAACATGTTTGGCTAGATGTACTAGTTAAAGAGTATAAAACAGTTTTAGCGGCATAAACAATTTCTTCATTCGAATTCTCTGTTAATAAAGACTAAATTTTTCGCCTTTTTATTTTATCGCTACTCTCGGAAAAAGATTAAATAGATCGACCAACACAAGATGTAGAAGAAATTGCACAACATAAATAATATGTCGGAAATATACTTAAATAAACTTACTATTAATTTTGTTAAAATAGTTTTATTATATAAATAAATATTTTTTGAAAATTTCAACATAATATTAATTTTTCGATTAATCAAGTGGCCAATGATAAAAGAATCACTCTGTATAGTATTTTATAGTTATAATAATATTATTATAGCCCCATAAACCCCCTTGGTATACCTCCTGCTTAAATAGCAGGTTATATTCTCCTATTTAAATAAATTTAGTTGGGCAAAAGTTTACAAAAATTTCTATACAACGATGAAACTTGAGCTCCATGCTTAAATTTTTTGTGTAAATGACTGATTCACTCACATAAATAACGATTTTAATCAGAAAAATTATGATTATAACCTGAATAGCAAATAATAGCAGGCGAATTTTTTTTTTTATATGTACGTATTATGAAACTATTTTAAAAAGAATTGTGCCTCCCCAAACCCGCCCTTTTTTTTGGCGCACTATAAATAAATAAAAAAATTGCAATATATTTTATTAAACGTTCTTATTAAGATTTTCAATAAAAACCTGTAATAAATTAATTTAAAAGTCGTACCTTGTTGATTTGAACTCATTTTTATTAATATTAAAATATTTATAAAAATTTGAAAAAAAAATTAACACAGTGTAATTTGTTTCGAAACTGGTTCAATATGTATAATAAATAAATAAATAAATAATTGATAAATACGAATATTAAAAATAGTAGACTGAATCGTTTTATTATAATTTACTTGTAAGCTGGCGATTAGTCCGCGCTCGTACGTAGATCGAACGTAACTACTTCATATATTGGTCGGCGACCATCATTATTATAGATATCTCTTAATAGCGTGATAACGAGCGCAAACACACCGCCTACCTTGAAATAACACATTTCAATAGAATCAATATAACGTACATATAAATAATAAGATTATGACAAACAATTGACCGACATTCACGGCCAAAAATATAAACAATAATTCTGTAAAACATTCTCAGATAAATAACAAATAATTAGAACTTAGAACTAACATATCATGCTTTAAATAAATTACAAATAATTAAATTAATATATAAATAAATAATAAAAATTAAGGTAACTAAATTTAGCAACAAACATTAGCTGCAGGACACTTTAACAATGAACATATTTTATAATAGAGATACAAATAATATATAATACATTACATACATAAAAAAAAAAAAAAAACATGAATTTATATCACAATATTTAGACTAGATATTATTGTTGTTTTTTTTTTCAAATCATAAGCATTTTAACATAATTTACTAAACATACATTTTAAACATTTTTAATTATTTGACCTTGCTGTACAATTTCCCTCGAAAGGTAATGGACATAATTGACGAACATCTGGTTTGTATACACCGGTTGCTGTACGGATAGTAGCCACTCGTATGACACCGTCAGAAACACTATGAACTTCCATTATTCTTCCAATTGACCATTTTAAAGGGGGCAAGTTTTCATCACGCATGAGAACTACAGTGTTTTTCTCCAAACCAGGATCATTTGATTGTGACCATTTTTTTCGCTCTTGTAACTGATTGAAATACTCGTTCTTCCATCTAATCCATATTTTTTGCGTAATTTGAACAACACGCCTCCAGCGAGTTAGTCTGTTCTCCATAATATTCGTTACGTCACGTTCGGGAAAAGCAGATAGCGAGTCACCTATCAAAAAATGACCAGGTGTTAAAACCGATAAGTCACTTGGATCCGTGGATAAAGGTGTCAACGATCGCGAATTTAATATGGCTTCTACTCGAACAAGTATTGTATATAACTCTTCATAGTTAAACAGAGCATTACCAAACGATTTGAGCAAATGTGCCTTAACAGATTTAACAGACGCCTCCCACAATCCACCAAAGTGAGGACTACGGGGCGAAATAAAATGCCATTGAATTCCTTTATTACTTAATTCATTTTTAACTTCTGGCTTAGCTAAAAGTTCATGCACTTCTCGAAGTTGTCGATTAACCGCAACAAAGTTTTTTCCGTTATCTGAATACACGCCCGTACAATAACCACGTCTATCACAGAATCTCCGTAACGCATTAAGGAAAGACTCCGCT